GTATAAACTATAAAATAAATGTACAATAATACCAAAGAAACGCATTAAATAATAAATACTAAAATTACAAACGATTAAAAACCCATGTATAGGCTAACCAAGTATACAAACAAGAAAATGAATTAACATTAGAATGCATTATGTATCAACAAAGGCTTTTTGGCTCAAGCGCCACTACATACAGTAAGCTACACTCAGGAAAAGCCAGACTCTTGTTAAACAATGCCATGATATGAGTCTGTCTCTTATACACATCTAGATGTGTATAAGAGACAGAAATAATCGTTTTAGTTGTCCCTCTTTGTCACTGTTATTTCTAGTTAAAATGTGAATTGTTATTCTGCCATGGTTAATTATTTTTATTAAACAGTTACTATTTTCCTATAGTTTATTTTCATAGTAGTAAACTGTTGCCATTCAAAGTAAGGCAAGATTATATAGCATAAATTAACTAGGCTTATCATGTTTGCCTAACATTAACTAGACATATGCTGTCAAGAATCATACTATTTAACCAATTTCTATTTACAAATTGTGAGTACACAAACAGTAAGAATAATAAAAATAATACAACTTAATATGAAACCTTCATTGTAACCAGGGAGAAAGCTCTCTTCTGATTGGTTGGCTGTTGAAAGAACGTCACGCTTCAGCGTATCACAGCCTATCTTTGCAGTTATGCCCTTTTGCCTTGGGAATTTACTGAAAATTGTGTAGTTATGCCCTTTTGCCATGCCCCTATCTAGCCCGGGGAACACTTTTTTTACAATTTTTTGTGTCAACATGTGTAACATGATGTACTGACCCCACTAGGCTATATAACTCATTTTCGCCAAAAATGTCAGTTATGCCCTTTTGCCATGGGGGGCAGAATTAAAGCGGCTAATTTTCGAATGGGTGTGGCCATATTAATTGCATATAGAATTATAATTTGTGCAAGAGCTGTTGTAAACACCTTGTTCAAACTTAATTTAAATGGTGCGGGGGAAAAAATCCCACAGGCACTTTGAAGATAAACTGTCTGCAAAACGTCGAGCAGAGTGAAGCTTTGGGCTGGGCCCTACATTGATCCTGAGGAACGTTCAGATGGGATCCGGAGATTATGAAATTCCTACGGTTTTTTGCAGTTTGAATTGTCAGCAGAGACGTGCCCCGCCAGGATTTCCCTAACAGTTGAGTCACAATCTCCAAAAACAGATCCTCTAGAGTCCCAGTATTGAAGGTTGAACCTGCTGGTGGCCATTTCTAGTCTGTTGTCTGTGTGGGGGAATGAATTGTGTACATCTAATTGTTTCAATGTCAGCCTCGCCCATTTTCTTTTATAGATCAAAGTCTTCCTATTAGGCCTACTACTTAACTTAGGTTTTTCAACATATATGAGATTTTTTTTTTTAAATGAGGGAATGCAGTAATTGGGGAATGGGTGGGGGATAAAAAAAACTTTCACCCCAGGTTTTCCTACTCTACCACTACATTTTTTCGAGCACAAACACATCCACTCATGTACTAAAGTAGTTCAAAACAATGTCAGCGCCAGAAATTCCCCCGCGTGGAGTCCGGTGCCCCAAAAGGGCACACAGTTAACCCATAGAGAAATGCCCCACCATGGTTGGAGTTGAGGTGAGCACATTTTAAAGATGACACCTCTAAATTCCGGAAATGGCACTTTCAGACTGTAACAATACGGTTTGAAAGCATTGTTTTCGAGAGTGATGCATTCCCCCAACCCCGAGGCTTTTCCGGATCCACCACTGGCGCTGCCAACTTATGGTTAATTAGACATCGCATCATATCAGCGCTCCCACTTAATCCTTTAGCCCCCCCCCCATCAGTCTCCAACTCCCCATGTCAATTCTCGCGCCACTACATACAGTAAGCTACACTCAGGAAAAGCCAGACTCTTGTTAAACAATGCCATGATATGAGTAGTGGTTATTAACGGAAAAATTACAGTATTTATTTTGAGCAACTTTGCTCAGGCCGGATAAAAATCGTTGGCGGGACGGAGTTGGCTCATGGACCGGGGATTGAAACCGAGGTGTATTCAATCACTTGATGCAGTGATGGAAATAAATAAATAATATGTGGTTAATCCATCTCAAAGTTGAAGGTTGACCCTTCACCCCATTTGCGTTTCTGAAAGTGTTTTAAAAGGATTAGTCATCGTCTGTTCAAACGATAAGTTGTCTCTCGCTCAGGGGTTTTTACTCAAAGACCCTGATTAGAGACCCTGAATTTTTTATTTAAATTTTGATTACTCAAAGCCTGTTCGTCTCTCCCTTCCCCTCTAAAGGACGTCATTAGGGGGTCCTTTTACCCAGTATGTACGTCATCGGGTGATTCCCACTGGGGCCAATACTCTTTAATTTGTAATTAGCCTCAATGTCTCACTACTTGTGTTACGATGTACGCAAATGATACCCTCCCTCTATTACTGTGCATATGTGTGTCCTAAATAAAGAATTAGATATTGTCCTAGGAGCAGGCCTAGTATTACAGGATAAAATTAAATATTAGAGATGTATTGTCCCTTTGGAAATGACAAAAAAACATCATAAAATAATTTTGAAACGAGCAAAGCGGGAATTCTGGGTGTCTAAGGGGACAAGTAAATTCACTTATTGGAATGCAATTTTTAACTATTTTGTATTTACTGTTATTCAGTTTCATTCATATCTTTTCCGTTTTTCTTTCTAATTTTGGCTTTTAGAAGGTTGGAGAATCACTCAAAAACGTTTTGTATATCCCATGTAGACCTACATACGAAAATCACTTTTTTGTACGGTAATGTTTTTATATTGTGTTACAAAAATTAAATAAATGAAATGAAGTTTAAAAACGCGCATTGTATTTATTTTGGAAGTCGCAAATAGAAAAAACCGTTCTTTAGTTTCATTTATATCTTTTCCGGTTTTTTTTTCTTCTAATTTTGGCTTTTAGAAGGTTGGAGAATCACTCAAAAACTTGTTGTTTATCCCGTGTAGGCCTACCTACAAAAGCACTTTTTTTTTTTGCACTGTAATGTTTTTATATTGCGTTACAAAGACGAAATAAATGAAAGGAAGATTTAAAACGTTTTTCTTTCTAGTTTTGGCTTTTAGAAGGTTGGAGAATCACTCAAAAACTGTTTGTATATCCCGTGGAGGCCTACCTACTAAAAGCACTTTTTTTGTACGGTAATGTTTTTATATTGTGTTACAAAAACGAAATAAATGAAATGAAGTTTAAAAACGCGAATTGTATTTATTGTGGAAGTCGCAAATAGAAAAAAAAACTTTTTTGGACTTTAATGTTTTTATATTGTGTTATGAAGACGAAATAAATGAAATGAAGTTTAAAAACGCGCATTGTATTTATTTTGGAATTCGCAAATAGAAAAAACCGTTCTTTAGTTTCATTTATATCTTTTCCGGTATTTTTTCTTCTAATTTTGGCTTTTATAAGGTTGGAGAATCGCTCAAAAACTTTTCGTTTATCCCGTGTAGGCCTACCTACAAAAGCACTTTTTTTTGCACTATAATGTTTTTATATTGTGTTACAAAGACGAAATAAACGAAATGAAGTTTAAAAACGCGCATTGTATTTATTGTGGAAGTCGCAAATAGAAAAACAAAACCATATCATTACCCTAAATTGCATCTTCTACGGCACGTGACACATTCCCAAGTATCCCTTGATTAGGAGATTAAAAAGTGATAGAACAGTTTATGTAATCCGTACTAACTTGTTTTGTTTCATTCTGTGGAGACAATTGTTTGTCGTAAAGAAAAATGTTAGCCTAACCTAGGTTTTCGCAAAAATACATAAAATATTCAGTGTGTCATATGTTATCTTGCGTTAATGCTGTCATACCACAAGTGATTTTCAGTTTTGTGTGCTATCTCTAACAAACAGCCTACTCAAAAGTGTATATGTTAGTGGTAGTCATTTTAGTATTGCATAATGTACAGCGATTAACACTCTTGTTCGTATCTCCATGATAATACGAAAATATACAAATTAAAAAGGAGTGGTTTAACGATTTGTACTCTTTAACATCCTTTTATGCTAATAATTGTAGGATAAGCAGGATTGATTACATATTTGAAAACAGCCCAAACTTATCATATGTTAGGCCTAATCTTGCCAATAACAAACTAAATTACCTAAATGAAGGACTATACAAAGAGTAGAAAATCTAAAAATGGTTGATTTAAAAGGTAACTCGCTTTTTACGCTTCATACAAACGCATTCAGTGGTTCTTTTTAACTGCTGTTTAATTATTAATTAATTACAGTTTTATTACAATAATGATTAATTAAAGTTTTATTATTAATTTTTCTATTTGATTTATAAGTGAGTGTAAAAATTCCGTGCGTGCATACACATACTGTATGTAGAGCATAAAAGCTTTTCTTTTAATTTTGTTTTTATATTCTTAAATGTTCAAATAATGTCATTTGGTTTCTATATATGTAGGCCTATACTGACTGAAAATTCGTTCAAAGTGTAACCGAGGCGTTGGCTTGCTTTGTTGCGTTTCCCGACCGATGTCGTCAGGCGGTGCGGCTGCCTGGGTTCTGGTTGTCTTCCCTGTCGAACAACACCCGACGACAGAGAAGACAGCTAGCATTCGGCTCGTTGCATTGCCTGGCGGGGGTCTGTTGACGTCGGTTCGGAACGTTGTGAGGTGGGTTTGCTTTGCACGACTTTTCAAACCAGTCTTATATTGTTGTTTTTTTTTGTAGTTTATCTTATATTGTTGTTTTTTTGTAGTTTATTTTAAGTGTTTAATTTAATTGGCGGGTGGGCAATAATGTTATTTGAGTAATGTACCGTACAAATCTCTTTTATATAATAAGGAATTTCACTTTATATTTTTGTTGCTTTTAGGCTACATTTTGTTGAATATGTTTGTTGAAGGAGGTGGCAAATAGGAAAGTGGGTCAACGTTACTTTCAGGTATAGAATTACTACAGTCAACTCAATACCGACCACCCAGAAAACCGGATTTCACGCAAAACCGGTCGTTTTTTAAAGTCCCCAAATCATTCCTGTTCTTACTGCATTAAAATACTTTCTGAAAACCGGATCTCCCAATTCCGAATTCCGGCCAAATTCTTAAGTCCGGAACAATAAAATTACCTTCTGAAAACCGGACGGCCAGTTTAAAACGATGATTTATTGACGAAATATGTTAAATAAATCATCGGAGACACATCGACTGACTCCAAACAACAACTATCAATCACAGAACAACACCACGTGTACGATCGTTAGCGTTGATCGTGTGACACGCCGATAGCGCATTAATCGTGTGACACGCCGATAGTGCATTTAAAAGTTCATTGTTTTAACCGCCTTTAGGCCGGTTTTCATTGTTTAAAATAAAGAGAAAAATCAAACAGACTTGGCTTTTTGTTTTTAATAAAGTGCTTTGTTTAAACTTGTGTCTTTGTTTTATTGACTTATGTTTTGATACATAATGGCTTTTCTTTTATTCATGTTTTGGGCTTTTCTTTTTATTAATTCATTATCTGAATGCCAAGCGCTAAAATTATGGATCAAAAGAAATCCAACAGTTTAAAAATCATGCCCATTGCGAATTTTCATCATTATCATTATGGCGACCAAACGAAAACGAACTGAACTTGATGTAGCAATGAAACTCCGATTGATCGACGACATAGAGAGCGGGATGAAACGAATTGAAGTAGCTCAGAAATATGGTGTGGGGAAATCAACGCTCAGTGACATCTACAGGGCCAAAGACAAATGGAAATCCAAAAAGGAAGAAAGTACAGGGGCGAAATTTAGATTTGTGAAAACTAAATTTAGCGATTTGAATCAGTTGATGTTGGTGTGGTTCCGGACAGCGAGGGATAAGAACATTCCGATTAGCGGACCATTAATAAAAGCAAAGGCGACGCAATTTGCAGAACAACTAAACATAACCGACTTTGGAGCATCTGATGGATGGTTAACAAAATGGAAACAACGAAACGAAATCAAACAAGTGGCGGTATGCGGTGAAAGTGGGGATGTTGACCAGACCATTGTAACTGAATGGAAAAGCAAGATTGCCGATTTATGTGCTGGTTACCAACCTGAGGAGATATTCAACTGCGATGAAACAGGCCTGTACTTTAGAGCACTACCAGACCGCACCCTAGCTGAGAAGCAAGATGATGTGACCGGAATTAAAACTTCCAAAGACCGGATTACTGTGATGTTTACGTGCAGCATGGCTGGTGAAATAGTAGGTTAACAACTTGTCTCTTTTATCCTTGCCTTTATTCTGCATCTCCGTCATTTTTTCGTATCATTCATTGCTGTTATCCTTACCATCATGATTGTAAGGCCTCAATCGTCGTTATCATAACGTACCGTCGTAAAAAATTTAGTTCGTTATTCTCATCGATTATTCGTTCGTTATGATCATAATTGTCACACTAAGATTGATTATCATCTTCACTGCCGTCATCACCATCATCATGACATAATCATCATTGTAATCGTAAAGGGCTACCACTCCCCGTTATCAGTTCATCATCACCAACATAATTAAAGATAAATGCGTGATTTCTTTTTAACACTTGTATTTATTTTTTCTTTTCATTTCAGCTTAAACCTATGGTAATTAACCGTGCCGAAAACCCACGATGCTTTAAGAACATTAAGAAGGATCGACTGCCTGTTGTATGGGAAGCAAATCGCAAAGCGTGGATGACTGGGGCACTATTCATTCTCACGCTAAGGCAAACCAAGCGGTCCCAACATAAGGCTATCGATTTCATAAAAACAATTGCGCATGACACTTTGACTGTCACCTCTGTCTGTTTTCTATTGGCTGACGCAGTTCAGGGGGCGCTGCATAAGTTAGCATTTATTTTAGCATTCAGTGATGCCAGTGGCATCGAAAACCAATCAAGCGTGCAACCACCTTGAAGCGAAGTAGATTGGCGACCGAACGAAAAATAACACTGACACTTATTATAAATTACGATACAGGTACACATTAAGTTGATTTGTGTAAACTTTTATTGATAATAGACTCCGACACAAAGAAATACGTACGTACAACATAAGTAATGTAAAAATAAAGTAAAACATGAATTTTAAATGACGTTCTCAAGTCAGTAGGCCTACACGGTACATGATGCTGTGTGGTGTACCTGTAGTAGTAAAACCAATTTCAGAAAAATAATTATTGAAGTGAAGTGTCATAAACATAATTATCTCCAATTTTCAAAACATTGGGGGTTTTGTTAAATTGTTTACCAGGTTTTAATACTGAATTTATCATTTCTCAAACTTGTTTAATGTTTGTTTTAACTTGATCATTTTTTTTAGCAGTTCGGCACAGGTCAGTAAACACATTGCTATATTGTTTGTATACCTATTACCGTATCTTGAGTTTTTTGGGAATGGATGAAACGCCGTTTATAGAATTTATGTTTCCGATAACTACATTTAAGGAGATTGGGTGTTATCCAAGGTTGTTTACATTTATCCTTTGCTTTATTCTTTTTCTTGGTGGAAAAGTGTCTTTGATGAATAGAAAAGAAAATATCAATAAATGCTTCAAAAGAAGAATTAGTATTACAATTATAAACATTCGAGCAATCAGCTTGAGAGAGATCTAAATTAAATAAATTGATATCATTTATGAAATACGAATGGCCAGTATTATCTTTAATTAAAGGTAAATCATAATCAATTATTTGGAATATAGCTAAGTGATCAGAGATGACAGATATAATAATACCTAATATTATTTCAACGTTTACATGATTTGTATATAGGTGATCAATAAGTGTTGCGCTACTTTCAGTAATTCTAGTTGGTTTAGAAATGGTAGGAAAAAAGGAGTTGGATAAAATAACATTTAGATAATTAATTATATGATTATGATTTTGAAATTTTATTAAATCAATATTGAAATCTCCCATTAAGTTGCAGTATTTAATTTCAAAATTAATTATCGTAATAACGGAACTGTACTATAAGGCAAGCACTTTGGTTGGATAGCGCAAAACATTTTTTCTGATTGCAGATTTGATACCATTATACGGCAGTTAAAGCGGCCAATTTTCGGACGGGTGTGACGTTAAGAGGATTCCGTGTGGCCATCTATATATTAATTCTGCTAATCGCCTCCGAGTAACTTCACCTATCCCCTCTGAAACCGCTGGCAGGAATGTTCTCATATCTCATACACAACACTAGCCGGGGTTTAAATGTCAAGACCACAATGCGCTACTATTCTAGGCTGGATTTTGGATAACAAAAAAAAAAAAAAAAAAAAAAAAACAGCCAAAAACCACCGAACATCAGTTACAGTTTCGCCATGTTTCGCGAGTTTCTTACGTCACTTAAGTAAATCCCCTCTGTTAAGGTAGATTCACACCGAATCCGATTATTAGAACGTTTCGATGCGCGTCTTAGTACGTGCCTCTATTCTTTACCACTAAAGATACTAGAAATTCAAGATAGAGCACTCGCATAGCAAAAATGAGGCGGATATTGGGCCAGACGTAGGCCTTTCTCTTTTTATAATGTAAGTTTTCTATACTTGGGCCCAACGTACAGGGCGCCCTTCTGTTGCTAATTATTACTTTAACTTCATGCGTTTCTAAAATCTTCAACAGAATCATATCAAAACATAATATCCAACTATTTAGAGAATAGGAATGTTCTATCAGAAATACAAGGGGGTTTTCGTTTATCACACAGGTGCGAAGACCATATATTTACATTAAAAAGTGTAGCTGCCTGTGGTTTGAAAGAAAATAAAACAACTCACATTGCCTTTTTAGATTTTCGGAAGGCCTTTGACAGTGTTTGGAGAGACGGATTATTAGTTTGGTTGTCAGACATTAGAGGTAAAGCTTGGAGACTGATAGACAGGTTATATAATGAAGTAATAGGCACCGTAAACTTTGGTGAAATTGAAACTGATCCCTTCGAAATTAACCAAGGAGTTAAACAAGGGTGTGTACTATCACCCGTTTTATTTAACATATTTATTAATGCGTTTAAGAATTTGCTTGTTTCTCATGATATTGGTATAAGGATTAACGATGTATGGTTAGGTGGTTTATTTTGGGCGGACGATATCATGTGTTGCTTGATAATAACGAAACTGAAATGAAAAAGATTCTTGAGCTAGCTACTATCTTTGCAAAAGAGTGGAAATTAATTTTAATTTTGACAAATCAAATATATTAGTAAATGGTAAACGTATAAACAGGGATAAACACTGTAAACTAGGAGATAGCTACATAATGGAGGCCGAATCATATATCTTGGGGTAATTATTTCCAGAAATTTAAACGATCATAAGCAATTTGAAAATTATTTAAAGAAAGGCAATAGGTTAGTTGCCTACAATAAATCTCTTATAGATAATTTCGATAATTTTAATAGGGTTTATTACGGGGATGTACTATGGAGGACAATTGCCCTCCCTTCAATTAACTATGGATCTGATGTTTGGTGTAGCGTATTAAATCAGACATTGAAAGATTAGAAAAACTTCAATTACAAATGGCACGATATATCTTAAAAGCCCCTGAATACGCCCCGATCTACATTATATGGGGAACTTGGATGGATACAGATAAAAACTATGCATGACACTTCAAGATTTAAATTTTTTAATCGTTTAATTAGTATGGAACCGTATCGTTGGTCAAAAATACTCCCAAATGCAACAAATCAGTTTCAATGTGATCCAAATAACTTCCGTTTCAAATTTGTAAAATGTATTTCTGATCTCTTTATTAAATGTGAATCTGAAGACCTTCTAGTACAATTATCTAATAATCAGGGCAACTACAATTACTGGGTTAATCCATTATTAAAAAAAGTAAATGAAATAAACAATGAAAACTGGAGGGAGGACATTGAAAGTAAGGGCTCACTCACCGACTATTCATTACTTAAAGATACAATTAAATTAGAAAATTATCTATTAGATAAATTGGATTTCGAAGGTGTATCATTGAAATTTAAACTTCCCTCCAATACATTGCCCCTTGATAGTAGAATTTCTAGATGGTCTGAAGACAAGAATGGCTTATGTACTCTTTGCAATACAAATAATGAAGAAGACATAAGACACTTCTTATTCTCTTGTCCCGCTCTCCTAAAAATACGTTTAGAGGAGTTAAATGAACTTGAATATAAATTAGGTAGTCATAACATCGATGTTTGTGATCAATTTTTAAGTGCTAATATTGATATTAAATTAAGCTACGTCATAGGCTCCACTGCTCTTTCCATGACAAATGAAGTAGAGAAATACTTTGATGAATTTTGTAAAAGTTATGGAAAACGAGCGTGGAGAAAAAGATCTGAATTGAAGCACTTGCAAACTTTATCCTAGATTAAGCATCTGTATTACTGTCTTTTCCTTTTTTGTTGTTGTAACTAATTAATTTTGTTTGCCTTAACATTATTGTTAAGTTTGTTGATGGTACAGGTGGCCCTTCGAAATTTGTGACAGGCAAGGCAGGTTGTATTTCCTTGTCATGTTTTTCGGGGAGCTACTTGCCTCATCAGCAGCACTACTAACTTGTGTTTATTTCATTTTTACTTAAGATTCCCTTGTTTTGTTTCGTAATTTTTTTTTTTGTACTTGTAGCTAAGAATTTTAATTCACTTTGAACGCACCAAATGATTTTGAGTGCCACCGATCTAAAGGTGTATGTTCTAATAAATGATTGATTGATAAGTACAGAGCCGTAGATAGAGAGAGTTGCGACCATATATCTCTATGGTTGCGACATTGAGAATTTAGAAGCCATTTTGTGTCATACGTGATGTGCGTTCCTGTGTATAATATTGTATAATACAGTTAGCGGGCTCCTGTATAGAGAAGAGCTGAGAAGAGGCAGCTCTAAAATACTGGATGCCATAAGACCTGCCAAAATGGCAGAGCACCAATGAATAAATGAGGCCTAAGCCTAGTTATTAATATCAGGCATAAAAAGAAAGAAAAGGACAAGAAAGAAAGAATCAGGATATGAAAGAAACGATAAGATAAAATAAAATGAGATATGTATGAATAAGCATAAGAAATGAAAAGGAAAGAAAAGAAATAAAGAAAATACAAGAAAAAATCAAGGTTAAATAGGAAACAAAGAAAAAGAAGAAAGATAAGGAAATATTACAAAGGTAATTTAAGCTAAAGAAGCAATGCATAAGGAGGAATTAGAAAGAAAGGGGAAAGGAAAGAAAAGGTAATTAAAAGGAAAGGGAGACTAAAGAAAGAAAAGGTAGGTAAATAGGAATCACGGAAAGTTAAGGAAGCATAGAATGAAAGTAAAAGAGAAGATAAGTAAGTAATTAGACGGTTAGCTAATACTAAAATAGAAAACAAAAACAAGGAACGTGAAAGTGAAATATAGGGTCAGCTAACATATTTTTCCCTCTAGGGTCCTTCTTTTATTTTGCACTATTGAAGCTTGTCAACTACTGTGGTACCGTAGTCAATGACAGCCACTTGTTCTGTTGATTCAGAACTTTATTATTTATTATTATAGTAATCTGCAGATTCTTGACTAGACCAGGTTAATTACATGGTTAATGCCGAAATGATTATTTATTATTATTAATTATTAATTATTGTTATTATGTTACTAAAACCAACCTGTAGGCCTACCTTACGGGGAACTTAGACAATCGAGGAATTAGAGAACAATTAAAAAAATCGACGTTAAACGCCCCAAATAACAGAAAAGATATTCCCCCTGGGCTAGTTATTAATTATAGGCCTAGTAAATAGTATACAAGGCTTAGGTCAAGGTAATTAATGCTGAAATTATTATTATTATTATTATTATTATTATTATTATTATTATTATTATTATTATTATTATTATTATTTATTATTTAACATTAATTACATTACAAGGATAGTTTGGTCAAGTTCAATAACGCCGCCGAATGGTATATTTTATTTATTTAATAAGATTTCTCTTATGCACTCTATTTTTTATTTCATGCTTTGATTTTTTTCAATTTTTTTTTCAAAATTTCAATCAACGTCTGTATGTAAAGCGTGACTGTTGGTGTCAGCCTAGGACCCTAGGCCTATACTAGGTAGGACTTAACTTAGCCTGTAGTTAGGCCCATAGTTTATCCTCTTTCTCTCTAGCCTATGGTATTACTGTACCTATCAACACTTTATAAAAGGGGGTACTAGCTGTTGTTGTTGTAGATATTATACTAACATTTAATAAACATCCAAGAAGGTCACAGTTAGTTGACTCTCTTGTTCTATTTATACTCTTTGATGTAATCTGTACCGCCAGGTAGGCCGCAATAGAAACATTCTGTTTTGCAGCTTCAATACGTCACTGCGCAGTGTTTTCATATCACGTTAACAAAATTATGAGCAGCATGCTGCTGTCTCAAAGCTGTCGGTCAGCTGTTTTGAGTATTACCCTTTGCATTAAATCACTTGTTCGAATGCAATTTTTAACACATGTATATTAAACGTTCTGTTCTTTAGTTTCAATAATATTTTTTGCATTTTATCTATAGGCCTATTGGAATTTGGAATGTTGGTTCAAGTAAACTTTTTGTTTATCCCCTGTAGGCCTACCGCCTAAAAGCACTCTTTTGTTGTAATGTTTTTATATTGTGTTACAAAAACGAAATAAAGGAAATGAAGTTCCATTGACCTTAATATATAAATTGCATTTTTATCTATGCACTTTTATTGTGCTGTTTTACCAGTATATAGGCCTATGTTTTAATTCAAAATTTTAATGCATATTTATTATAGTTTTACCAGTATTGATGTTTATCTGTACTTATCATGTTTTAATGTGTATTTCATTGTATTTTTAATCGCATTTTATATTTAGTTTTGGTTTAGTATTACAACTAAGTTGTTTTAACTAAGTTAATGTGTATTTTTAGATTTAAGTACAGTATTAGTTTAGGGACACGGCCTTGCTGAAAACCAACTTTTTAATTTCTGTACCATAAAATTGCATCTCTAATGCAATAGTCTTCTATGACACGTGGTACATTCTCTAGTATTGATTAGAATTAAAAAAAGCGAAATACTTCCTTGTTTTGTTTCACATTCTGTTAAGACAATTGTTTGTAGTACAGAAATAAACGTGTAACCTGTTTTCGCAAAAGTACATCAAAAATTATAGAGTATCACTTGCTCTTTCGTTAATGCTTTTATACCACTAGTGAAAAAAAAAACTATACCATTACCTTATTGTATCTCTAAATAAAAAAAATATCTTTTATGATGCGTAACACATTCTCGAGTCCTATTGATTAGGAGATTAAAGATCGAAAGCCTACAGTCTTCTTAATATTTACTTCCTTGTTCCTCATTCTATTAAGAGGATTTTTTGTCGTACAAAATTGCTTTTGCATTAATGTTTTTATTCCACTAGTGAAAAAATGTTCAGTTTGGTTCTTGATGAATATATCTCTGAATCTATCTCTGTTCCAAATACTTCGAAGACAGAAGCAAAAATGATTTAGTATCAACTCGAAAATTGTAGACCTATACGTTAGAAGTAGTCATTTTAGTAGTGCATAATCAGAATGTATCCAAGAAGAAGCGAAACAACCAGGATACAGAGACTAGCACTCTTGTTCGTATTTGCGTATTCTACTACGATGGTATGGAGCTGCGTTAACACCAGATCATCTTGCCCTCCTGGAGTCAAGCATTATTGTAAATGTGAGAAACACTTTAGTGTTGAATGCAATCAGTTCATATTTGGTAACATGTCTGTACTGCCTTGTAATTTAAAAAAAATCGTTGTTCAAGGGAGCAAATTAAAAGAATTACAAGATAATATATTTCAACTACCTATGTTAGAACATTTGGTTCTACCTTACAATAAATTGAACACAAGGTGTATTGGTGAAGACGCGTTCAAAAACCTTACAAGGTTGATGACCTTAGATATCGGTTACAATACAGAAATATTCAAATTAAAAAAGGAGTGGTTTAATGATTTGTACTCGTTAACAACATTTGATGCTAGGAATTGTAAGATAAGGACGATTCATTACAATATATTTGAAAACAGCGCAAACTTAACATATGTTTATCTTGCCAATAACAAACTACATTACCTACATGAAGGACTATTCAAAGATTTAGCATATCTAAAAGAGGTTGATTTAAAAGGCAACTCGCTTTTTACGCTTCATGCAAACGCATTCAGTGGTTCTTTTGAATTGCAGTCGATAATCCTTCGTCTAAATAAATTTACAACATTCAAGGAAAGTTTTGGAATTCAAGATATTGACGGATTAGTTAAATTAGACCTACGAGGGAACCCGATCGCGTGCGATTGTGACATACGATGGTTCCACGCCTGGTTACAGTATACGAACGTGACCGTTAACGCATCTTGCTACTGCTCTTCCAACTTGATTGGTCTACAAGTAAAGGAGTTTGACACGAATACTCTCCATTGTACAATTCAGGCCTGGGTGGTGGTGGTAATTTCGGTAGTGTCACTTTGGTTGCTGATAATATTTGTTGTGCTGCTGTATCGGTTTAACATAAGGTTGGTTACATTTCCTTTTCAATGATACAGTGGAACTCCTCCTTAGGGACATCCCCTTATTCAGGAGACACCTCTATTAAAGAGGCATTTTTTCCCTAAAAAAGGGGACATATATCTCTTAACGCTACGGCCTACTAGCCCTATTAAGGGGCGGGGACACACTCACCTTTTGAGAATATACCAGAATTCTCTCCTGATTGAATTCTTTGAGTGAACATTGGCCCACTGCACGTACTACTTCCTATAAACCAATCTTGTCAGTTTTGACCCTTAACCATGGGAATTTCTTTTCGTTGTTTTTTTTTTTTTTTGTACTTTCATAAAGGATTCTAATCATACAGCAGGCCCGTAGCCAGGGGGGTTTTTAGGGGTTCGGGCGAACCCCCCTTTTTCAGCGAACCCCCTTTTGCCAGCGAACCCCCTTAGCCAGAAAACGATCCCCCGTTTCCAAGATAGTGCAATTTATTACAAAATGGGAGCATTTTTGGCACTGTTTATTTGTCGCTATCGATACCCCCTTGAAGCATGCTGGCTACGGGCCTGCACAGTAACATGCACCCTTAATTTATAAGTCGTTACTCTATTCATGCTACATCCATCCATCCATTAGAAAGCTCAATATTTAAAATACAGCCTCTTTGCTATTTAACATTGCACCATGAAATAATTGGGGACAAACAAAACTACTGTTGTTTTAATTACATTTCCTTCTGATTTCATGTTATAAATCAATTGTATTTGCATTGCAAATTTTTTGTTATAAATTAGTTTTACTAACTAATTCTACTGTAACTGATTCTTAAGTCAATAAAAAAACTACAAAAAATGTACATCGTTGTATGAAAACATACTAAAATCCCCTATTAAGGGGACAGTTTCACGTTTTTGGTTAGTGTTCCCTGAATTGGGGTACCCCTACACCACTATTAGGGCTGAATAGAAGCACCCTTATTAAGAGGGTACTTTTTTTTTTTTATCCCGAAGGTGTCCCCATAATAGATGTTCTACTACTACTACTTATTTTTTGGAATGGAATTCGCCACTATTCGACTTGACTAATGTCAGGTTTAGCAGAAAAAAAAACAATACCACAAGCTTTCATTCAGTTCAGACAACTGAACTGTTAATTAAATTCGCTCTTTAATCTTTTGCACAGGAGAATGCAAAATACCAGCGAGATCTGTAGTAGACTTAATTGTTTTGACAATTCTACAAATTAATTTTTTTCAATTTATCCTCTACTTTAAATTTACTGTTATCTAGCGTTAAAATGTAAGGTTATTGTTACCCCCTACTATAAGAAAACCTCAAAGGAATTGGAGACTTTTCGGTGTGTCAAACTTAAAAATCAGAATAGGGCCAGGAGTGTACACATTAAGGAGCTTTCGGTTTGTGCGACGACGACACGACGCTAGAACGGAATCACTCATGCGTAACCGTCCTACCTGGCGTCCCACGTTCTCTGCATACGTAGATTTGGCCAAATTGCGTTCCAGAATCTGCTCGACGAGGTGACCTTAACGTTCTCGCATGCGCAGATGACTTTTAGTGACGTCATTACGTTCTACGTCCTACCGTCGTCGTGCAATCGAAAACTCCCTATTTCCTACAAACACACATGCACGTTTATGCTGTCGTTTTGTGGGATGTCAACAACAATATACAAGCAGAACGCTTATTAAGTTTTCGCTATGGTAAAGTGTGAATTGATTACCAGGAATGTTTGGTTTATGCATATCAGAATCGCCAGTTAATTTACTAGAAAATTATGTTACTGTACCAATTTTCAATAAAAAAAAAACTATATTAGTTTTTATTCCAACACAGACTTTATATTTTTAATAATTCTCTGAATCTCTATTTTCTCCTCAGAAAAATCTATCACAGATTGAGCCTCAGGTGGCATTACAAACAAGTATCGTAACATCGGAAAAGTATTATAAAACAAGCATTTTAATTGGATAGCGCAAAACAATTTTTTTTCTGATTGCAGATTTGATACCGTATTATACAATTTGCGGATGATGTGTGACGTTAAAGGGATTCCGTGTGGCCATTGCAGAATCATAACTTGTACAAAAGCTGTTGTAAAGATCGTGATATATTGATTAAACTTTATTTAAGTCGTACCAACTTTATACTCGTAGTTTGCATTGGCACTTTCAAGAACTGTCTGTTAAAAGTCGAGCCAGAGTGGATTTTGGGTTGGGTGGAGACATTGCTGAAAGTCAAACTAGGCTGAAGCTTGGGCTGGAATATGGATTCCGGGGAAAGTCCTGACAGGATCTGGAGACAATGATTTTCCTACGATCGTTGTTGCAGTTTGTATTGTCAGCAGAGTGCCGCAAGGATTTCTCCAACAGTTGAGCCACAATTTCCTAAAAGATCGTCTAAAGATAATCGATCATTTGAAGCAGTTATAAAAATAATGATCAATTTGCAAATAGTGGATTAGGGAATCTGGTTTTTTTTCTTTGAACAGACTATAGGCAAGGGTGTTGTCAGAAGGGGTGCGGGGGAGGGAGCTACACAAACTTGAGATGGTTCTAATCAACAACACCTCATCCCCACCAAGCAAGTGCAGTATGGTCCCCACCTGACGCACGCGGCTGCGGTTGATTAACTAGTATTTCAGAGGTCTTAAATACATACAGTCATAAAAATATGCATGTTGTAGGCGGGTGGGGAGGGCTAATTAACTCTGTTCAGTTTTCCTTTAAATATGCTCCTGATAGACAGCCTGACACTGCCAAATATCATGATCATTGTTTTTAACAGATAGTTTTCAAAAATACTTCTTGCTCATAAGCCATGGAATGAAGAGAATATATCCAGGGAGATGTATCTCTGTGTATGAATACAGCCGCTTGTAAAAATTGAAAAAAGTGCTAAGCATCACCGTTCACACACCATCCATAAACAATATTCTGCATTGAACCAAAAAACTTCAATGTATATTTTGGACTACTTCATGGATTTTGACACCAGTGATCATAAAACTCTCCTTTGAGAATAATATATGGGGTTCTTGGATAGGTCACTTGGAGTGGTGCTATCCTCTCTGAATTCAAGTTTTTTGATGGAGGATTTAACTCCAGGAAGGGGATCTTGGCATAAATTCATGTTTTGAAAGAATTTCTTTGGTCGAATCAACTACTACTACTACTACTACTACTACTACTTGATATTTAATGTATTTGATCATCCTCCTAGATGAAACAAGTTATAAAAATAAAAAATAGGTCTGGACTTAAATATACATATGTAATACCCAAATTTAGTAATTTAAAAGCATTCCTTTGTTTTTAATAGTTTAATGAGTTTTCAATCAATAAACTTCCTTGTTTAGACTTGCGTAGTGTCTTTGGATCTTTCAAATCTTAAAGCAAGTATCTCGCTAATTACAGAAACAATGCAATTTTCTATAATCCAAGTCAAAGTTTCGGAAGTGTTTGTATTTTGATCATGAGAAAAAAAATAATTGGTACTGTATTTGCACGAAGAACCCTGCAAATCGAGTAGTATTGTATTTCCACAATTCCCATAGTGTTGAGATTTATCAACTAGATTACATAATAGCTTAAGATAAAAACAATGTGTGCAATTGTTGAGTAATTCGTTGCGTTTAATAATGGAACTTTCGGGAGCATCAATCAAACTTAACAATCTGAACAGACCATGAATACGCACGTGTCTCACAAACACACGTCTTGTCCCACAAACACACGTCTTGTCCCACAAACACACGTCTTGTCCCACAAACACAAGTCTTGTCTCACAAACACACGTCTTGTCTCACAGTCTTGTCCCACAAACACACGTCTTGTCCCACAAACACACGTCTTGTCTCACAAACACACGTCTTGTCTCACAGTCTTGTCCCACAAACACACGTCTTGTCTCACAAACACACGTCTTGTCTCACAGTCTTGTCCCACAAACACACGTCTTGTCTCACAAACACACGTCTTGTCCTACAAATACACGTTTACCAGATTTTTCAAGTTAGACAAATTTGCAGGCGTGAGACATTATTTAAAAATCCTCCTCTAGGTGTAAGGAGATTTGTGTTGCTTCAGTACTTTGTATATGTATGTTATCAGCTTCCAAATAAATATTATAATATGATAATTGAAAATAAAATAAAATTTACTACAAATAAATGAATCCTTCCTATATTCTTTCAAAATTATCTTTAAATTAGGAAAATTGAAATGAAAAGAAATGTTAGAACTTATTTAATCTGTAACCCAGAAAGCTGAAGACATTTAACTACAAGGAAGATAAAAAATATGGAATGTTTCAACATTATTAATCCTATTATCCAAGTCACTGAAGCTACTACAGCGCCTGGTTAGTCCAAAGACGGTCTTCCATCGAAGTACTAACAGAGCCCAATATTGCTTCACCAACTGATGTATAATACTGTATTGCTTGTTAGGCTAATTTCTGTCGGTTAATTTCTCTTTTTCCTACCGGCTATTTCTTGCCGATTGATTATTTTTGTCAAGATATCACAATAAAACAATAAGATACCAATATAAAACATACAACAGACCATGAAATTTAGATAAAAAAAAAAAACACATACTGGTATATATAACTATGTAAATATATTTATTAATTTAAAATAATAAAAAGAACAACAAAAAGAATAATACTTCATACTGTAATAAGCCGAAGGAGCCATTAGTTCTTGAAAAAACTGCCAGAAGCCGCCCGCAGGCTTGGGGTATTAGGTAGACCTACCTCCTGGTAGACATTTGTTTAATAGACTAAAGTGAATTGTAAACATTATTATGAATTATTTCCATGTTACCTTATTTTTTTAGTTCTTTATAAGTCAATCACCTTGTTACCTCATACTCATGATACTTTTCTAGGCCTTGCCTAGAACGGTCTAGGCTTCATTTATGTTATCCAGCACTGTAGAGCGAGATTTGTTGCGTTGGCTGTGCACGTTGCTGGAAATATTCCACCGCAATGTACTGCAGTAAAATTACCTCAGCTTCGAGCTTTTTGCACATAAGACGCAAAAAATCGAAGGCACTATATCGATATAGTGATCAGTCGGGGATAGGAAAATTCAGGGCAAATGAAAGTGATGACGCCACCACTGACTTATAATATTAATTTTAATACTATTGACAATATACCATTAAGAAAACTATTTTATTAAAGAATGAAGTTATTAATAGATTAGTATGGCAAACACTAGCATTTTACCTCTATGAAATTATACATTTATTGCTGAAGCAGTAACATCTGATGGTACATGTAGATGATTAATTTCAGTTGAATTAGAGTCATCATCTCCTGGTGCATCCTTTGGTCTGTAACGATGTCTCCATGCCTGACGCCAACCAAGTGTGGTCAGTTCATATACTGCCCTCGCAGTAAAGAACACTGCCAGAATATAGTAGTACCCTCCATACACCAAGAACTGGTAAAGATAGATTAAAAAATTAATTTTTCAAACAGTTAAAAAATAATTTTATACTTGTTTATGGTGCTCTGCCATCTGGCAGGTCCTCAGGTATCCAGCTTCTCAAAAGATGTCATGTGTTTAATAAGATTTATAATGATTTTAAAACAATGAAAATTGAACAAACATTAATAAATTTAATTTACCTGTGTATCTGCAGGTAGATTGAGCCCTCGATAATCAACAAAAATTATAGTTAATATTGATTCCAGAACAAGAGCAATGAAGGTGTTGCAGCCAAACACCAATGCAAAGCGTTCGGATGCGAGGTGACGTGCTATCTGGTACCTGAAAGACAATATTTTAAAACAATTTGGCTTTGTTTATCTTGAAGGACGAGAATATTGGATGGAGAGTGGTGCTAATCACACTGACCAAGAATGTGGACAACATACTGTAATAAAGTAAATAAGATAAAGTGACACAAGACAGGGGGAAAAAATATACACCCGGGTTCTGCATGGGTTCAATACAAAAACTCATTGTCATATTTTCATCTTGTTCCACGTACAGAAAACCCAAGCACACAGTGCGTTGTACAACCATCGGCTGGCGAATCCATCTCCGCCCTCCGTGAGCAACAACGTCTGTTGGTTATCGATGACATACTAAGCAGTTTGTCGTTAAAACGTCTCATCAAGTTGCATACTCAATTGGATCTCATCGACCAAAACCCTCAGTGCAATGTGCATGCAACTTAAGTCTCTGTTGGATATTAAAAGAATGACATGCATTATGTCTGATGACCCGAAAATGAACTTACGATGCAATGGTGATTACAAGTTGATACGAAGATCGGAAGAGGATGTAGAAAGCGTAACACAGCCAGATATTGGTGGTCCAACCCATGAAGGTAAGCAAGATGGCATCTAATACAGAGACTGCCGCTAGAATTGCTTCTCCAAAAATGTCCCAGTTGACATTGGAAAACATGATCAAGAAGGCTGATAATGCACCTGCCCAAAAACATATATTTATTAATAAATAATAATTTAATAATTATTTATAAAAGTTTGTTAGCAGCCATCATTCTGAGTCCAATGTACATTTTGTTTTACCTTTGTGATGTACAGTATTCTTCTTTACATTAGATTTTTTTTTTTTATCAAACTTACCATATACAGTACCTGATCATATGACCAAAAAGCAAGTGCAAACAACCTAAAGTAACATTCTCATTGGTCAAATTATTTGGTATGATACATTGATAAGGCCTTTAAGAAAAATTTACTTTAGAAAAAATATTCTCTCTTAAAATATATTGTAATATGAAAAATACTTAGTCTCACCAGCTAAAGTTGCAGCTGCCTCAACAGCACCATTCCATACCTGGTGATGGCTGCCACCGTTAGACTGCTTGTACAAGATTACATCCCACAAATTTTGAATGTAGTTTCCAACTTGGAAGTACCCACAAGTTGCAAATGCCCACCAGAATGACCACTGCAAAAGGTTTCTTGAGGAATAACAGGCCTTGAAATCTGACCACAGTCGCTGGAAACTTGATTGGCAGTTCTGTTTCACAGTAATATTAATGTCTGGTGGTGTCAGATATTCTGTGTCTCGGATAGGTTCATTATCTGTAGGCCTTGTGTCACTGGTGTCTGATGGAATACTGCCATCATTAAGATCTTCATCCGTGTGGAAATAAACACTCGTCTTCACTAATGGCAGACTTAAGCTTATTAAAAACGCAATTGATACTGACACCATAGATATCACATTGAGGCCAAAGTATTCCAGTAAGTTTAGACTAAGTAATAACTGACCAAGAACTCCTGCAAAGAATCGACCAATCAAAACAGAAGACCTTGTGAAACTAGACACTTTTTGATAGTGTTCTGGGGTGACTACTGCATAGATGTAAGAATAGTAAGCGATTTCAGTTGCAGTAGCTACACCATAAAAAAACTGCATAAGCTTCATTAACATTGCTCCAGAGGCCCAGAGCAGAAGTGACCAAGTTGCTAAATATGCAATTCCTTCTGAGACAATTACAGGTTTATACAAGAGAAAGTCTGTCACAAGGAACACCAGTACAAGAGATACCATGTAGGAATAGGTCCAAATTGGGTATATCTGGTTATCAACTTCATCCTCTGTGACATTCTTTGATTCCAGAAGGAATGGTGTAAGGTATGGTTCAGATGGTCGTAGTTCCTTGAAGAAGCCATACAAACACAGCAGAATGGTAGCTATTTTCCATGACTGCAGGTTCTCCATTCTGCCAAAGTGTGATCTAAGAAAAAAAATTTCTTGAACAAATTATGGTTCTATATAATAATGTATTTATTGATATTAAACTATATTAGTACTTCATGCTGAAACCTCAGGGTGATAAAAAAATTATTAATTCTACATAGTTACCAACCTGAGAGGTATGAAATGTGTGACATATTGAAAAGTTGGCGAAGGAAATAAGACAAAAGACCCACATTAGCAAGCTGTTCAATGAAGCATAATACGACCTGATCGCTCTACCATGGTTACTGCTAACCGCATGCGACCGCATACAGCACTTCTGAACAACTTTGGCACACTGATCTCTACTATAATAGCTGGATTGCTCATCGGCCAATCCTGGTAGAGAAAAAATGAGACCTCCGACGACATGTTGGAGGGCCTAAGTGACGTACCAGTTAGGAAAACTTTCTTTTGGCATGTGTCAGTTAAAAGTAACAATTCTTGCAATACTTTTTAATAATAAATTTAAATTTAACGTAGGAATTTTTTTTTCGATACCATCTAACCACTAGACGCGACTATTTATGCAGCGAAGTCGCGTTGTTATAGTGACGTCGATCCCTAACAACGCAACTACTGTAACTTTGCTTGTGCTTTCTTAAACTGCATAAAAAGTCACATCAAGTAGATAGATGATTTGAAAAATAATCATTATGTTAAAATTTAAATTTATTATAAAGTTTTGCAATAATAATGTTATTTTTAACAATAATTTAAACAAATGCTAAAAGAAACTTGTCTAAACTGATACGTCACCAACATGGCGTTGGTGGCTTCACTACAACCAGCCAATGAGCAATCCACCTATTATAATAGAGAGTGGTTTAGCATAGAGAATGTTATGACGTCATTTGACTGGATCTTATTTTTGTGGATTTTAGTAAACAGCAAGACTATTTGACCAATAAGAATGAAGCTTACATCAATATGTTCGTCATTTATTCATATACTCGAATCAATTAGCCCCGATGTTGTACGTTGTTTCGTTTTGGATGCTAGAGCCGATTAATAGAGAATTATAAATCATTATAAAATTAAAACTGCAGCGAGATTAAAAACAAACAAGAGCAGTGTTATACACCATAGAAAGCTAGATTATTTTCCCCAAAGTAGTTCGGTGCTCCGTTTTAAAAAATATTAAATTTTATGTTACAAAATAGCGTCAAATTCCAATGATACAGTATATTGCACGCACAACTGGGCAGTCAAGCAGAGTCCGCGACTTTTCAATATGCTACACCATTTGGCTGGGGGTGCCGGAGCACAGGTGGGGGTCCAGGGGGGAGGGGCCCTGGCGCTCCGTCGATCTGAGCATATTTAAGCTGTTTTAAATCAATTTCAGGAAGATGTAATAAAGCCACATAGAATTTGAGTTCTAATGTATATAGGTCTACATTATGCTTAATATTTGAGCACTCAAACTATGTAGGCCTACACAAAAATGAATAGGTATACTGATCAATTTTTAGTAACGCGTCAGTAAATTAAGTATTCATGTAGGGGCCTGATACTGGTTTCTAGGGGCTGAAGGCTGCTGGACACTTTGGCTTAAATGGCATATCTAATCGATATTATTGAGTTTATAATAATTTCAGATACAGTAGTTATTGAAACATGGAGGTAGACTGTTATGATGATGGATGTTAGTTAGTAAAATTCACTACAAATTGAAAAAGAAACAAAATTTACTCAAATTTTAGGATAAGCGTAAGTTTTGCCAATATTTGCGCAAGACAGTAAGATTTGATTGGAATGCGTAAGACTTACGGCCAATGCGTGCGGGTTGACAGGTCTGACTGTCTAATGACTCAAGTTACTTCATGACTGTTTTCATATATTTAATAAAACCAATTTCATCTAATTTTAAATACATTATCCCCTGAATTTGTGATAATCCGTTATCACACATAGAACTGTGCGAAGTGCATGACAAATTTTGATCATGCATGTGTTTCTGCAAAATGTGTGTTTCAACCAAAATCACTTCGAAATGCAGGACCTTTCCGCATGATGCGAGACGGTTGGTACAGGCATGAAGAAATTTCATATTTTTTCACTTGTCCCCGGAAAAGTACCTTGAAAAATGCACTTGTCCTGAAGACAATTTTACTTGTTCCAATATTATTGCGCAATAATCATAAAATTTAAAATAACACAAAAGTAAAGTATTTTTAGTATGGCCCTACAACATTAAAAGGCCTACATGCATCCTGCATTGATCACGCAAAAATGTTTTTCTTTCTTTTTTTAATTTGCAAGAATTAAAACAACAACTGCAAGTAAAAATTTCTAGGGCATGGTTGATTCTCATGAATGACAGGACTGTGTTTTATGACTTTGTTTTTTTTGTTTGGGGGGGGGGGGGTGGCCATACCGTATATTTGTACCCGTTTGCAGATCTTATAATCAATTTTAATTTTTTTAATTTTTTTTTTTTTTTGTGGGGGATACAAAAAAAATTTATTCAAATTGCACAGGAAAACCTCTAGAAAAAGAGATGCACAGAATCTTAAATAATTGTGTTCCTACTATCAAGCCTTCAATTTTCTGCAAAATATCGGCACATATTTTCGAATTTCTGGACCTAATAATATTTTTTGCGGGGAATATTTTACAGCCTGACACAACTCATTTTATTTATTGCAAAATACATAAAATTGCTTACCTCTTAACGAAAGACAAGCACTGGTAGGCCTATATAACTCTGAGCATGGGTTGAGGGACAAATCTACTCTACTTCCATCTAGGCCTTCTAGCCTCCAGGCCTAGGCTAGTCTATAGGCCTACTTAGTATACCTGTACCACTATATAACAACTCCCTGGTACTACTACTACTACTAGGCCTAGTAGTACTAGAGTAGTTAGTAGCAGTAGGCATAGGCTAGTACTCAACTCTGAACTAAATAAATAATTTTGTATATAGAAGACAGCTCGGCACTAGAAAGGAATGGCGAATTGTCCTACCTGCACCTACATGGAAGACTAGGCTAGGGCGCTAGGCCAGGACAGGTTTAGGTTAGGTCTAGTATCTTTGGTTAGGTTGCATTCTATTTTCTCTATGGTTGCATCAGTGTTTATGCTCATGAACCATCAATGCGTGAACAATTAAAATGCCGCAGGTCGAGCAACGGGATTTTTGTTCGTAGGATAGTTTAGCAAAATATTATCATGAATCGTTTATAATCATCCTCATACCAACTCCCTGCTCATACAAAAACATTTGCGGCGCTTGCGCTTTTTTAAGTCTGAGTTTCGGCCTGATTAGAAAAGCTAAAGAAAAAACCCTTTTTTGTTTTCCACCCCTTTTTTCAGTGAGTTAGAGGCGGGTGTAGGGCAAACAAACACAACTGTTTTGGCCTTTTGGCGAGACAATTTTATTTTCAGCTTGTTTCGCGTACTTATTTTTTCAAAGATTATCGAAGGAGGGCCGCGGAATAAAAATAAAAATAAGATTTTGTTTTCTTATTTTTCCAAAATCATCCAGACGGAGCAGAAAATAAAAATAAGATTTTATTGGTGAATGTAAGATAGGATGGTTAAATGCTTCATATTTATATAATAATAAGATCTTGTCTTTGGAGATTTCAAGGCAGCGGAGGACGTAATAGAAATAAAAAAAACTTTAATTTTTTTTTAAAATTTCCACTTTTTCTTGGCGGCGGCCGGGTGCGCTAATTGGCTAAAAATAGGCCTAATATTTTATTTTTATTCGAAATATTTTCAGTCGGCGGGTTTGCTAAACAAAGTATAAAAAAAAGCCTCGCATGAATTAACAGCTGCTCTGTTCAATGTCTGCTTTAATCGGATAGAGGTTTAAAACATTCCATCATAGATGACTATCGGCGTCATATAAGGCCTAAAAACAAACAGTATTTCCCAAGCCCAATCTATCGGGAAAATCAGGGTCGGCTGGTGTTATAAATTTATGTTTATGATACTAAACCGGCCTACTCTTTTCCGATTTTTTACTCTGTCTATAATGTAACCGAGCAACGGACCCTAGGCTGATTTTTATTTTCGCCCTCCAATTCGAGACCACACTTCTAATATTTTGGGCGGTCAGTCTCAATTGAAACCGTCAAATAGTGACCACAGGTCAAGCAGCATAATTGGAGGGTTTAACCAAAACCTCTAAATGAACACCGAAGATAAAAGTGGTCTCCAAAAGACTATAGGACCAGTGGCGTATAGGGGATGGCGCACGCGCATCTCCCCACCCCATTCGCCTCGGCCACAAAAATCACGGTCAAGTCAAGTAGTTAAAATCACCATATTTTGCGAATTAGCGCCCCTCAACTGAGCCCCCACGTTACCCTGTCTCTTATACACATCTAGATACCCCAAATCAGTCTCCCTGAATTCAAGACTTCTAGATACGCCACTGCATGGGACAACCAGGGAGCTAGGTGTAAAGGGACAAAAATCACAGAAGTGGTTTGGCGCAGTCAGTGGGATTACCAACCTCGAGGTCGGGGTCAATCTCCTCGATGTGCATTTTAGTCCTTGGGCAAGGAACTGACTTATTTGCATTGCTTCTCTCCACCCAGGATTTGTCGCTGGCCAGGGTTATATGACAAAATGCGCTGATGTAGCTGCTGCAACTTTATGGAATAATGATATCTAAATCAATATCAGCATCAGCATCGAGCGAAACCTACAGAGGAGTTTTAATTCCTCGTCCACTATACCCCTCCTATCTGAAAAACTCTTCCACTCTTTTCTGTCTTCTGTTTATTATCACGTAATTTTGTGTTTCCGACAGTAGATGTAGGCTAATGTATAAAAATTCAGAATCTGATGAGGCAAATCAATTACTGGTTTTTAAGCAATGATTCAAATACAATGGCTGAAAACTATGTCCTCGCCAATACGCCTACAAGCAAGCAGCTGATAAGAATGGTTCATGACATTTTGTTAAGCTATCCTACGAAAAGGAAATTTACGCGTCGGGCGGATGAACCAATGAGGGCGCAATCTGCAATTACAAGATGCATGCTGGGAATCCATAGTTTGTTCGCTTCTTTCATCTGGGTGACTGAACTATTTAAAATATCTAAATTTACGCCTATATACCGGTATATATTTTAATTATATACCATTTTTTGTAAGTATGTATGTTTTCTTGCCAGAGCTGTTTTTTTGTGACATATTTTGCCATTGTATATGCAAATTTTGTCTTTTAAAATATCGTTTTCGTTTAGGAAATAAATGTACGTTTGTTGGTGTATGTTTCTCAAACCGCAACATGGCGGCTACCATCGATTTCAACGATGTTAGTCTAGGCTACCAAGCCTATTACACAGGGCTTAAATGAAGAAGGTCTCTAGGCCTTTAGCCTACTACTACCACCTAGGCCTTCCTACCTACTGTTGGGGCCGGGGGTCCAGTAGTCTATGTCTAGACAGTTTACCTACTTCACTTGCTTGTTTACGGTAAAGTTTTATGTATATTATTTTTCATATAATTAAATCATGATAAAGTATAAATTAAAATTATAGGCCTAACTCCATCATAGTTACACACGTAACATTGTTGGGGTCCAATTACATTCAGCTCACCCACACACACAGCATCATTATTAGAATAAAATAAACAAGCAAGGACCAAGCACCTGTCCCTCCTACTAGTCCTAGGCTAGGCCCTAGTATGCTAGGCCTAGGGGCCTACCACTACTGCTGTAGTTCAACCACCTGAAGATAAAAAATCAAACCATATATCATAAGGATATAATTAATAAAAGTAAAAAAATATATAAATTATACTCATTAATCTCGTCACACAGAGACTTTTTTTCTAGCCTAGCCTACCTTTTTCGGCGTCTGATTCTAGTGCTACCAATTAGACTTGTCAGTGGGTATAGCTTCGTTAAAAGAAATCATGGCCTGTATTCAGATTTTAATGATGAATTAATTATTTTTATGAATTTTAGGGTATAATCGGCTAATAAATTCTTTTATAAAATTATTATGATATGCAAGATGAAAAGTGGAGGCTCATACTGTACAGTACTTCACACTCACACATTATCCGTGAGAGTTGGCAGGTGTAGATATGTATCATCATTTATGATATTATTTTGCTTACAGATTTGATTCATTGCTTTTCAAAATGGCAGAAGAGACTACAGATAGCATTGATGGAGATATTGATATGGAAATGGAAGAACCAGCTGACAGTGACCTCATATTCAAAGATGTAATAGAATTGACAAGTGAAGCTGGCGACCCAGTCCCTGATGACCCTCCAGAAAATTGTGGCTCTGTATTGCATCAAGACCAAAATGAAGTTACAGATTCATCCACAGTTACAAAACAGAATGACTTACCACCAGGCATTTACGTAATTGGACCTAACTCGAAGGATCCAATTCCCATAACAACGCAAGGGTCAGCCCTGCCAACTCAGAAGGAACTTGTCAGTGCTGTTTCCATGGCAATATCATTATCCGTTAAGCCGCAACAGAGAAAGTTCAACCCTAACCCTGAACCAATCAATGTTTATGCAAATACCTTTATTTGTCATGCTTGTGTGCATGTTGCAAAGAATGCCGAAGAACTGAAGGAACACATAGCTAGTGTTCATCCAAAAGAGCAGAAATTTAAGTGTTCGGTGTGTAATTTTGTCACCTCTCACAGGCACAAATACAATATACACATGAAACAACACGGGCGTATGGATGAGATTGATGAGGGTGACATTTTTTCCTGTGACAAATGTGACTATCAGACAATCTATCGCAATGACCTTGGTACCCACAAAATGAAGCACCAGGGAGAAAAACCGTACAAATGCCAACACTGTGATTTTCAAAGTATATATCGACATAGCTTAATACACCATGTGTCATCAAAACACGACAAAATTCGGCCATTTAAATGCAAGTATTGTGATCATTCAACTGCAAGACGTCAAGATCTTCTTACGCATCTCGGAAAACATGAAGAGGAACGGAGGTTTAAGTGCGACTTATGTGATTATACCACTCCTTATCGTCCATGCTTTAGAGCGCATATGGATAGGCATCTTGGGAACCGACCGTTCAAGTGTGAATTTGAGTATTGTGACTTTGCTACAACCACAAAGCAAAATTTGAAGTCTCATATGTTGAAACATGCAGAAGATAAGCCATTTAAATGTGGGTTTTGCTCTTACGCTGGTACGCATAAACAACAGCTTCTCAACCACATGGAACGACATGATGCAGCTCCACCAAACCCTGTGAAAAAAGTGTTCAAGTGTTTATCATGTGACTATACAACATCGCATAAATTTTCCTTTAAACGCCATAGTGAACGGCATAATGAAAACAGAACAAAACCAGAAAAAACATATGCATGTCCACAATGCGACTATGCAACTGGGTACAAGAGCAGCCTGAAACGGCATATGGCAAAGCATAGCGATATTAAGCCGTTCAAATGTGGCCATTGTGAATATTCGGCAATCAACATGACACAGATGCATGTGCATATTGCTAAACATACTGGTAAGAGCATTCTGAAGTCATACATCATATACTTACTATACTGCAGGAGTACAGTAGGCTCAAATCACATAAGCACACATGTTTACTATATGTACGTGTTTACAATGTTAATGCTGTCATTTTTAATGGAAAGGTCTATTTAATATGTCTGTACAGTAGGTATGGGAAGGTCCTCACAAAAAAACACATAAAACAGCTTTGCTGCGGTACTGTAGATATAATTGTTTATTATACCCAGAATAATGAAGATTTAAAATTCTGTATTTTTTCTAAATTAATATTTAAATTTAAACATGATATTCCATGAAGTTACATTTGTATACATAAACATGTGTAATAATATTTAATACATAAACATCTTTTGCTTGATTTACAGGACTGAAACCATTCAAGTGTGACCAATGTGAGTACGCCACTGCCAACAAACAACACCTAAGAGCGCACATGGCCAAGCATTCGGATTTGAAGCTTGTTTGTGATAAATGTGGTTTCATGACAGCGTGGAAGCAACGGATGAGATTACATATGAAGGCGCATGCATCTGGTAAAGTTTTTACATCCAGAGTAATAAAGAAGGGATTCCCAAAGGACCTATCGGTTTCGGAAATGGAGGTTGACAACCCAAATAATGAGGCACTTTCACAGATTTCAGACGCTATTGCTGCTTTCCAGTCGGGAAAACAAACTTTTGAAATACAAGTAAGTTGTCAAAGGAAAGACACCATGATCTTCCCTTTTTCACATCTCTATATTTCTGCAAGACATTCCATTTCATTTATTTATTCCACTTAATGCAGATATTTTGTAGGTGTGGTACAACCTCTGTGGGACATCCTAACGTTCCGACAATACAGAGTATTGTCGTAGAAGTAGAAGACAAAATACTTTAAGAAACAAAACGATTTCTACAGTAGGGAAGCTTGTTTCATTCATGCTCCTTTTAGAAAAAGAATGAAATCAAATTAATAATTCAAAAATAATATTTATTGGAGAGAAAGGTTTTCAAGATGACTGCATTTTTAGAGTCCAGATGGTGAAACAAATTAAGTGACTGTATTTAATTCAGTATTCTTTTCATAATGAGGAATTATTATAGCTAGAAAAGATTTTATGTAGAAAAAAAAAAATCTTTATTTATTTTAGAGTCAAGATGGAGAAACGCAGCAAGTTTATGTTATCAATCAGGGTGAGGCAGATGTAGATAATGAGGGCGCTGTTGTCATTGTTGGTAACGATTTCCATGAAGGAACGGTAAGCTCTTCTCATGTATACTTTAATACAATAACAATCAATAATAATAAGTGACATTTGCTTTATAAAGCACTCTACACCAGCAGGCCGACCCCAGAGTGCATACACTCAATCATATTTAAACAATGCAATACAGTTAACTCGTCATAATAATTATTAACAGAAATTCATCCTACAATACAGTATACAATACTAAGTCTAAAAACATATTTACAAAATTTATCATTCAATATAAAATAATAATTCACCAAATAAATAATTCTAGTTGCAATAAAGGGGCATAGGGCATCCTCATGATGTTAAATTGGTTTCAAAAATAAAGATCACTCATTCACTCGAGTATTTTTTCATTGGACATTTCATACCCCTTCTGCTCCAGGCCGACTGTGAGGCCCTTTAAATCGGTTGCTTGTTAGTGAATGTGGCATTTTCATGCAGTAGACAAAGCCCCGCTAAACAGCCACAGAGATTTGTTAAATACCTGTATTGTAATACAAGCATGTATTATACTGTAATTAACCGATGTAATATCAAACATATCTAAAGTTAAAAAGGATTATCCCTGCCAGAATTCCTGTCATCTGTGATCAGCAGCTGTCACTCATTTTCAATGTATGTTCTGGGTCATCCAAAGTAATTTTTGTAAACAATCAAGCAATTGCTGGTCATAGTGAGATGAATTATGAGAAAATGAGTCTTGTATAGCATGAATATTTTATTAATTTAAGCTATCTGGTATTTATTTATTTAATTTAAATCATATTTATAGAGGGTGGCCCTTCCAGCTAGGCTGATATTCAGGGCCCTCTACTGTACATGATAAAACCAGAAGCAATACAAAAGACAGAAAGTAAAAAATCAACATGTATTGGACAGGTCTAGTGGACAGGTCTAGGTACAAAAATGTAGTTTCCAGGGTTTCACATGTAGCTGTAGAAAACTAAGGGTGGGTGTTAGACATTTTCAGATCCAGGTTCATTAAACATTGCGTAATGGTCAGAGAAAATACAGTAAGGCTATGTTCACACACACGGCGTAAGGCTGGCTTAAGCATGGCGTGGCGTACGCCTTTGTGTGTGAACTAGGCAGTGGCGTTGTTAAAGCCACTCACTACGCCACGTCCTTGGCGTTATTAACACTACCTGCAGACCCCAGATTAACTAACGCCACTGAGCTAACGCCAGTGATGCTTGAATGATTTGACCTCATTTTAAGAGATTGCCAATCACGATTGCAATATATTAGCTACTTTGGTCTCTTTCCTGTGCTCTCTATAAAGGAAATGGTAAAGGGGTTCTTTTTCTATTGCATATCTTACTTAGTTATAATGTATATGATTTGTTGATCTTGTTTTGTAAGATATTTTAACCTATTTAGAATGTCTATTAAAACCTGCAACACCAACAATGCTAGCTGAAAAATCAAAGTAAAATTGATCATTTAAAATACAATAATCATATAAGTTCACTTCGAACAATTCACAGATTTAAAAGTTTTACTGATACACTGTTAATTTTACTACAGTTAAGAACCCGTACATTATTTAAAATTTAAAACTATTCACCCATAGGTCTATATTACTACTAGTTTAATGCCAGTGTTAATATAGCGAACACCGTTTGTGTGAACACTTTGGAATTTTAATCCGTGAATTAGCTTACGCCTGGCGTAAGCTACGCCAGTCTTACGCCGTGTGTGTGAACATAGCCTAATACATTTATGATAATACATAATCAAATAGACTTATTGTTATGTACTAATTACATATGAATAATAAAAATCTAAAGACCTGGGGATCTGGGATCAAAATCAGAAGTTAACCCAGGTGGTAAACTCGGCAGGATCTCCGTGAACACAATATTAAACTTTATTTTTAATGAAAGCAAGTTATTTAATGTCTTTTATGTTGTATTATGAGTAAAATGTGAATAAAATCAAACTGGACTGTGTGTTTCATGCTTCTATATTGTTTTTACATGCATGTTTGTTCTGACATTTTTTTTTCCAAACACAACTCATTCTTCATGTAAACATTAGGTCGTGCCTCCTAAACTCTGCCTACTAATTGGTTAATTTGTTTCGTGGGGTCATGGATGGGCAAACATGTGCTTGACTGTGATGACGTCAGATCGCCCAAAGTTTCATAGTGCGTGATGGCTTGCAGACAGGAACAAGCTCAGTGTAAATCGATTAATTTTTAATTAAACAGATTTATTAAAACAATTAAAACAATTAAGAAACTCTCGTGGTTTTGTTTTACAGTCAAATCGAAATAAATCTTAAAAATGTAAATTTCATTCTCTACAAATTTCCTCCGTAATTAGCAACATGCTTTTAAGCAATGAGTGAAGCAATGTATTTGTAATTTACACTGGTGAATCTACAGTACTACGACATCCAACAAATCCAAATTAAACATCTAATGAAAAATAGTCACCCGCCGTAGAAACTTGCTTTGAGTTCCGTCTTCATTTAAGCTTGATTTATTGCAATCGATTTTTAAATGATTGGGTCAGAAGGCAATAATGCACTTTATAAACAATGGAAGGCATAACTTTATCTAACATTAGCGTTTAGGCCTACTGGTGTGTCATTTTAATCAATAGATAATCTCTATGGCAACGATATTGGGACTGAGCTAGCTGTACAACGGTTCATTATCAGGGTGTTGTGAGCTAGGCCTGTTAATTAACAGACAGCGTGGTTTTGTTTTACAGTTAATTAACAGACAGCGATGATTATTGCGTTATTTTAGTCTGGAAAAATTTGATTTTTATTAAATTTATGTTCCAGACCAAATAAAATGTCCGGAATTTGGAATAGGGAGATCCGGTTTTCGGAAAGTATTTTATTAAATGAAGAATAGGAATGATTTTGGGACTTGAAAGAAAGTTTGGTTTAGTGTGAAATTCTGCTTTCTGGGCATTCAGAATTCGGAGATTCCACTGTATATTTTTTTGTTGTTGTATAGTTTCATTTTATTCATCATCATAACATTAACACTGTTCAACATTTTATCAATAATTAGTTGTGAATTTTAACATTAGTACGTAGGCTATGCTTTCAAGCTTGATTGGGTTGATTTCAGGTGTGTAGCTGAAATAAAAACTGCCATCGTCATAACCAGCGTCAATTTTATAGTGCTGGCAATTTAAAAAATTTTTTTGCCGACATACTTTTTTCCTAATTTTGAGGGCTGTACCAGCTAAGTAGAATATATTCAAATGCTTTCTAAATGAATTTATAGTCTTATAACCAGTGATAGCAGTATCAAAATTATTCCATAAAGTTGGTCCTGAAAAAGTAATAAGAAACTGACTTTCTTTGTCCAACAAAACAGTTTGCGTGGATTTCTAACATTATAACTATAAAGAGTTAAATGATTAGAAAATAAATTTGATATAGAAATTGGTAACATATTATTACCATAATATTGAATAATAAATGATGCAATTTGCCTCTTTGGTAGACCCAACATAATTTGTGTATGGAATAATCAAATAAAAGTTAATGAAAGCTGTAATATGTATGTGATATTTATATAAAATATACACAGTAGTTTAGTTTTTTAAGTTTAGTTTTAGGCATATTAACTGGGTTGACACATCACCAATTTCAAAAAGTGAAATTTATATGGTAAAAACTGGCTCAACTACCCTCTATATGCATATATACATATACGCATTATGTGTATGTGTATATATATATATATATATATATATATATATATGTGTATATATATATATACAGTGTATGTATATATATATATGTATACTGTATATATAAAATACATAATTATATAATTGGTAAATAATTAATCATCTTTCATTTGCTAGGACCAAGTACATTTGGTAGTTGGAGCTGAGAATGAGATGGGAACTACTGTGCAATATGTCATTGAAGATGGCCTGCAGATGATACAGGCCTCCTCCGAGGCAGTATCCATTAGCAACCAGGATGGCACACCTACTACTTTGGATACTAACGGTGTACCAATGCATCCAAGTTTGGTAACAACAGTAAATGAAGGTACAAACCTACTTATTTATAAAATGTTGTGCCTCAGCCCTAACCATAGACTTGCCACAAGTCTCTTATTTTTTATTATTTTTCTCATTCTGGACAGCGCCACCAACGAGAAAGTTAATTTAGAGATAGACGGAATAAAAAAGAAATCGAGTATGGGACGCCAATTAACTTAGGTATGGCGCGCACTAAGTGCAATAAAGAGTGAGTAACCTAAAATTAGGGCCTGGAACCCAGGCTACCCTAACCATGGTGGAGCTTAGGTGCTTTAAACCCTCCATCTGTAAGAGCCTCTCCCTGGGCCCCTCTAATTTGAACTGGTACCAGCTACTCTCGTTTGTCCACAACAGCGGCTGTATGGGTATACACCAGGGTAACCTCCTACTCGTCTCAAAAAACGTACAGTACTGGGTTTTTTAAAGTGCACATAAGTTAAATTGTGTAATTCCTACTAATATTTCTACAAATTGTGTTAATGTTATTTTCTTGCTCTCAACAGTTGCAGCTGAGGAAACACTGACAGCAGACACCTGAGTTATAACATGCCCTCAATTGGTAGATTTTGTGGTAACAAAAATATTGACCAATCAGCTTATAGAGATCTTAGACCAAGTATCTGATTCATTAATCTTAACCCCACTTCACAAATTCAACTTAGTTACCAGCCTTTGCAAGGAAAGCACTTAACAAAATTCACCCGTTTGCTAATTTTTTTTAGTGTGATTATTGGTTATATTTGTTTGATAATCTTTGGCCCTCACAACAGATGAAGAAACGGTTTAGCTGAAAATTTGAGGAAATTGAAATTCACATGCTTATCTAAAGCTGCTGGTGAATGCATGCCTGTTTTCATGGGTGTAACTAGTGGTTTTTTGACCCTCGTCAAAAATGGAAATAGCGCCGCTTTCCAGCTCGGAAGTTCTTTTTTCTGAAACTTATATTATCTTTGGAATTTGGAGACTAGTAGTTTTTGTTCAGTTTTATTTTGGTGCCCCCACTCTTTTTCAGTTCTGAGCTTTGGGCCTTTCCTGCAACCTTGAAGTTGCACCTGCATGTTTTTATCGTGATTCAAGACACACTTTGATGTTGAAAGATTAGCCAATCAGAGCTTGCATACTATATATGTAAAGTAATTATTACCAAGAAAAAATACTTTTTTTGTCACTGTGAAAAAGCTGAGCTTGGTACTGTGCTAAAGAATTGAAGTGTGTCCGGCTTTTGAGGTTTAAATAAAACTTGCATACCTATTTAATTTGCTTTGCCTATAATTGTCTGTGTAGAATCAAATGAATGTTGAAAAATGTTAGTTTATTAGTTTGCAAATCAAATGCACCTACAAAAAAAGAAGAATGTGTTGAATCAAATGAAAGTTAGATACAGAAAAATGTATAACTTTTAATTTGCAAATCAAATGCAATAATATATGAATAATAAAATATTGTGCATTATTAAAAAGTACATAAAAATTACATTTCAAACACTTTCAATTATTTTGACACAAAATTTACGATTAAATTTTTACAAAATAATAAACAAATAGGCCCTATGGGTAAATAAATGGAGACTTATATCTGCTTACAAGCGGAAATGTATCTTTTTTGAGGAATTTAATACTGTATTTTCCTTATTAGGTAATTTTAAAATCATTGGTCTATCTGAAATTTGGCAAGTGGAAAATCCCATTTTATTTGAACTGAATGGATATTTGTTTGAAAATAACCATCGTGAATCCGGTTATTAGTGGCGGGGTTTCTGCTTGTATTCACTCATTAAATTACACAATTATTGATCATACTGTGCTTAATTCTGAGTCTCTCTGGTTGGATGTGTCAGATAAAGGCTATGGTCTCACACGGCAGCTAACGGATAGCAGGATCCAGGTCCTGCTAACCGTTAGTGTTCATACGAGAATATCCCGATCCAGATACCAAATTTAATATGATGATTAAATCATTGGCCAATAAGAAACTGGAAATTGTAAACGCGTACGTGTGATTGGTTGATGATAGAAACGCGCTCAACTTGCTAACCGATAGCGCTTGCTAACCGTTAGTAGCGGTATACGGATACCGCTAACCGATCGGGCGTTCTCACGCAGGTGCTAACGGGTATCGCTAACGGCTAGCTCCCGATCCGGATACTAGGGCTCTCCTGAGAACCAAGCTAAAATCATTTTATTTTATTTTATTTTTATTTAATTTAATTTTTTATTTTTATTTTATTGTAGGTATTATTATTATTATTATTATTATTATTTATAATTCTAATCTTCCTGAGTTTTATAATAGTTTTCTTGATAGGCCTATATTGTGTTTTATCGCTAAAAAAATCGTATCGTCATTGGTGATTTTAATCTGTTACATTAACAGGGGCAGATTTAGTGGGGTGGGGGTGCCCTGCGACGCGCGCCCCCACTTCTTATATCACAATTTTTTTTTTTTTGAGATAATTAAATGAATACTGACTTACTCTTTTAATAAAGTACAGTTTTTGTGTAAACAACATTTGACACTTTTGACGTGTAAGTTTTACTTCCTTATTGTTTTCAAGTACAGTACCTGGTTTAATCATCATTGTGTAACTTACAAGATATACTGTATGAAATTGTATAATCCTGTTGTCTCTAATTGACATGAAACAAAGTAGGCCTACCTAAACCTAGGACCTAGGCCTATTTCCAGTGGCGGAAAAAAAAAGAAAAGAAAAAATTACACCCACAGTGTTTAAGTCTTCTTTTCCTACTAAAAAAACGCTAGGAGAGTGCTATTCATAAATCCACTTGGTGAGAAATAGAACACTTGTAATTTAATCAATGTTAATACACAGTAGCGGATTTTGTTGTTTGAACTTTGACGACTTTTTTTTAACGGATTTTGGATATTAGTTTTCCTCTTTGCTGATTTTGTGATTTTTATGCTCGATGTTGCTGAGAAACTTCATGTTTTCCAGGGGCGGATCCAGAGATGTCCGAAAGGGGGGGGGGGCCGAAATTTGGGCCGATCGAGACAACAATGACCTAGGGGGTCCGGGGGCATTCCCCCACGAAATTTTTGTGTTCTAGACGCCCGAAAATAACATTTGTGGGATATCGTTTTTTTCTTTTTCTTTCTTTTTTTTTTTTTTTTCCCTTTTTTTTTACCTCCCAAAAGGGGGGCCGGGGCCGGGCCGCCCCCCCCTAAATCCGCCCCTGTTTTCTAGAAGTGAAATTTCTCTTTTGAAATGGTGTACATTTATGAGCCTTTGCATATTGTCAAAGATTATGTTTGAGATGTTCGTGGACGAGGCACTAAAACCCACATCTGTGAGTTGATGAATTATTATTAATTTAATGACACATTTCATAGTTGCATATTGCAAGTACCCTGTGTATTGAAATTTCATTTAAAAGATATACACCTATTTTTTTTTTCCTAGATAGTCAAATTCCATGCTAGATAGTCAAAATCGACTCAATACAACCTCATATTCATCAAATGTGCTGGGCTTCAAGGGGGATTTCCCACCTTAGACCCCGCCGGGGCCCTAGGCTGCCCCCTGGTCCCCAGCCTAAGGCTTGCGCCCCTCCCCCTTTTTGTGGCAGGCTGGATCCGCCCCTGATTAGGTACTGAATGCGACTCACCTAGCATGCCTTAACATTACTCAACTTATCACCACTCCAACCAGGTACTCCGAGCATTCGGAGATATAACTTGATTATATTTACACAAATATTCATAACGCTTCTATTCACCACGTTACTATTGCGAAATATTGGATCATCCTCCCACATTTACTATTTTGAACACATCAACATCAGTACGAAACATAAGTTTTTTTTGTTAAATTTGTAATTCACAAGCTCCCTTTGTTCAACGCTCTTTTAAAAGTTTTATAAAAAAGAAACCATGGATAAGTAAAGCAATAAAAAAAACCAAAAAAACAATGAAAAACATAAATTATACTCCAAAGTTCTTAAATCAAATTTTGAGCCTACTAAATTTACGCAATATAAAAATTATTTTTCTGGATTTACAATTTGACAACAACGTAGGAAGCATGAGTATATATCGTAAAAATACACATGCCGGTCAATATATCCATTATGGTAGCTTTGCCCCATGGAACTATAAGATTTCTTGGATTCGTAGTTTAGTTTCAAGAGCCTACAAACTGTGTACTCCCGATAAACTTCAAGCAGAACTTAGAAAATTTATGTCATGGAATGGGTACCCTTTAAAAGTTAACCATGTACTCAATAAATTAAATGAACCTAAATGTATACATAGGCCTACTGTTGATAGCTTGATTAAGATTTGGGTTAGATTGCCTTATCTAGGAAAGACAGGTGAACCCATTTTACGTAGATGCTTAAACAAAGTAAAGAAACAATTAGTTAAAGAGGTAAAATTCATAATATTATGGCAGTACAAACCCCTAAGGAATATATGAGCTCTGTTGTTTATCATTTTAAATGTCCAGGTTGTAATAGTGATTATATTGGTAAGACAGATAAAAGAACATTCTTCACGATCTGATAGTGTTATAAATGATCATATACGAAATTGTGAGGCATTCCAATATGTGTTAGGTTTACAAGGTATACTTGAAAATGATAATGTAGCCTGAATTGTAAGTAATAAATTAGGTTTAATATTTTCTAATACTAACATTATTGACAGTTCACAAAATTGGTCTATACTATACAAGAAGCGTTCGCTATACGTAGGCTACCATCATTGCTTAACAATGGGCTGAAAGCTTCAAAGGAGCTTTCTTTGTTTTTGTAGGTACTGTAGCTTTGATCAGTAGGGTAAGAATGCTTTGATCTTTAGTTTATTCATAACTATTTCACCTACTAAGTGTAATGTTTTGATTGGTCAATCACTTTTGGTACTTGTGCATATAAGCTTGCAAATATGGATAATTTTTCATTCCTGATGATGACATAATTAATGTCGAAATATTGAATCCCGACACGATGGCGTGCATTTCGATGAGTATGTATTATACTATCTTATCTGAGATTAATCATATTAAACATATTTTAGCACATTCTCATCTGAGTTTTCAAGAAAAAATACAATGATCCTGCCATCCTGCTAATCTCAATCGGCCGATGGCCAAGAAGCTAACCACTACCCACCACCACCACTAATTGCATCTGCTATTTTGCTGTTATGTAAATATTCACAGCATTCTTGTCATGAGCCATGTTCTCTGGACGATTATGTTTTCCGCCTAACTACCATTCGTAAGGTCCTTTAATAATCTTTTTTCATTTAAAAAGTGCCTCTTGAATTTAATGATTTACCATAAGAACCCCTCGATTTTCATCTATTTCCATAAGCGCCCAATCAATTTCCACTCTGTTTTCATAAGCGCCCCGTTCGAATAAGCGCCCCTCAGAAAGTGCAAAAAATATTTTAAGCGCCCGGGCGCTTATTCGCGCGAGAACGGTAATACAAAACACAAAGAATATGCTTAATAAATAATATGTAACTAAGAAAATATTAAGGCCTATCTCTGGAACGTTTCGTTCTTAAATCTAATAGCAGTTGGTAAGAACGAGTTCCTGTGTCTGTTAGTTTTTACTGCAATGGTTTTCAATCTACCAGATATTGTGATTGTCAATTTACAGTTTAGAAAATGCGATTCATCTCCAAGTATGCTGTTAATTTTTAATAAAGTCGCATCGTTGCATAACTGCGTGAGATATTTTACTGCAGTACCAGTAATTCGGCTTGCAGACTTACTTAGATTCTTCTTTGTGATACCGTTTAACCATAGTATCAGTGGTGGCGCCAGGGGGCGGGGGGCGGCGGGGATATAGCACCCCCCCCCCCCGTCGGGGAAGACGCGTAAATTATTTTGTGGGGGGAATAAACAAATAATAATAAAAAAAATACATGTCATGTTCGTTTAGCCACCATATTGTTTTCATTAAACTATTTGTGTTAACTTTTCATCACAACAACAACAACAACAACAACAATAATACTAATAATAATAATAGTTCAATAAGACTAATCAAAAATAATTTGCATTCTGTTATGACAAATGCTCGTTTGGATAGCCTCATGGTGCTTGGAATACATCGTGATAGGTGAAGCAACCTCGACCATGACTGTGTGGTTGACAGATTTCATGCAAAATTTCCAAAATGTAGAATTACACTTTCAAGAATGAGGATGGTTACATTGCATACTCTTTGTGATGAAAATATCAATTTTTAACGAGAGTAAAGAGTAACTATTTAGCCAAGTTCCTGTTACA